CCCCCCCCCCCCCCCCCCCCCCCATCTGGAGGACAGCTCCATCTTGTTCAAATCCCAACAAAGTGGTATTTCAGACACTCAATTTGACTTTCTGTAACTGTGACACCTGTAACTGTGATCTTCCATGAGAGATCAAAAGACAAGCAAAAACTGGTGGTACTAGTAGTTGGATGGGAGACCTCTACAGGAAAGCACTGCTGTTACCAAAAGCAGTGGTGGGATTTCAGCTCCCTCTGAGTCACAGTTCAGCTCCTGCCCTGCCTGGAGCTAGGGAGGTGCTGCCTTTCAAATTTCTGATAATTCATCAGCCCACAGTACTTTTCAATATCACTAGGGCATTATTTCCAGCATCCTGGCCAAACTCCACTTGGGGCAATTACAGTCTGCCTACCTAGAACTCCCCCTGATGTTTCACTTGGACACAATACTCCACTGCCTGTCTAAACTCTTGTGTGATGTTGCAGTGTGTTAACTGCTTCCACCTCAGAGGTGGCTGCATTTCAGTGGAGAGAGAATCATTTATTGTACAAAATATACAATGACATCTTCCTAGAGCCACTGCTCCTGAAAGACAAAAATTCATATTAAAGAATGACTGGGAATAAACAGAACACAGTACAAAGCAGGGGTAATATCTACACATACCAGATTAATCACCAGGCACGAGTTTTAGCAGCAGTTCTTCAACACCACCGAGCTGTAAGCGACAAGGAAAAGTTCAATACGTCTACAGTTACTGTGGCTGAGCTAATGGACTTCAATAAAATAACAGCCCTTTGCCGTCCGTCAAGGATCTCAAATGACTTCACAAACAGGCATGACTATGGTCTATTGTTGCCACCATCCTTACCATGAGATGGTGCTCTATCTCCCAAACGCGAGAGTTACTATCCCTGTACTGCTCACCCTGGGACAGCTGCCACATATGAGGCAGCCGGGATGGGGGGAGCTGGCTGGGTCGCAGCGCCTCACCCAGGGGAACCTGAACTCTTTGGATCCGAGCCCTCAGCATACCTTCCTCCTGGGGGAAAGTAACAAAAAGAGCAGGCAGTTACTGGCAATGCAGTAGAGGCACCTGCAATAGCAAAGCTACAATCACTGGGAAGCTCAAAGGACACTTGCCTCTTCCGCAGCCACAAGCCACGTTTTGCGGTGCTCATCGCAGTAAACACCTACGCGTCGCACCCAGAGCCGGACAGGAGGAGCGCCAGCGTGCCCTCCTTCTGCCATTCCCTCAGTCACTCCACGATGCTCCTGTTAGGTGGACAGCATCAACCCGCAGGATGCACGCATGGTCTCTTTAGCTCTGAATACATTCATGGAGAGAGCTCTCGGACCTGAAAGGCACCTCTGGCATCTGACTTACTCTATGAAATGCTATGTGCTGCAGTGTCCCTAAAAGTCAGCTTGGGAAGCTAAGGTGGTGCCTAAGTGAACATAAATCTCATGACAAGTTGTACACTGGGATGTGCATGCTGTATGGCATTTGTAAGGCATTCTGGGGCAAAAGGTGCTATTGGTGCAAAGTTAAACCCTGTGAATACTGGCTTTACTTATTCCACTAATAGTCCTATTAGCAGTCTTTGTGTAAAATAGGGAAAAAAAAAACCAACCCAAAACCAAAAAAGTGATTTACACAGGAGTTCCGTGGCTAATGATGCTCTAAATCCCAAAAGCAAAACTTGTGACAAGAGGTGAAATTAGCTTAACAAGAACGAAGATCACTCCGGAGACAATGCATGAAACTCCGTGTGCACGACTCTCATATTTGGAACTTGCAGAGCTGTCATTGTGAAGGGTCCTTCGTCTCATCTCTCAAGAGGATAGCAGCATTGTCCAGTCACATACAAGCTTCTCGTAAACAGCTCTCACGACTTTGCGTAGTTCAGCTTTTAGATGGTTACAGAGAGCCACTGATACCAGCGGGGGCAAAGGAATTTTGGACATTGAGGTGATTCTTCCTATAGGAATTTTTGTTTAACAGCAACTTTAGCTGTATACCAGTTAGATCAAGCTGAGCCATTAGCAAATGAAGGTCAGGGGAAATGATTCTCTCTTTGAACCCTAGAAGAGGTAATCAAAATTGCACAGACAGTCTTCATTCTTTATCTAGGTTTAAAGTAGAACAGAATTAAGCTGTAATACATATAACATCCTCCTGCTATGAAGTAGATGCAATATTCCTATCCCAGTGAAACACAGTGGTCTTCTGAAAACTTGTGAAGTTATAGGGCATATTTCAGACAGGAGCAAGAAAATCTGGGTACAAAATAAAGTAGGGAAAGTCAGGGAGAGAAAAAAATTGTTATACATTGGGATACATATATAACAGGAAATACACTTCCATGTTGCCTTCTATATCTTACATCAGTGTTTCTCTACCTTTCTGAACCAAAGGATCACTTTGCCTTTTTGAAAGCAAAACACCAACCACGGATCAGCCTGAACAGCACTGTCATAGTATTTTAATTTCTAACACAGAAAACTTCAAAAGTTCTTTTATTATTTTTCTCCCATTCTGTTTGTTTCCTTGCCTGATGTGTGGGGATGTGTATGTGCATTATAAAAAGCACCACTGTTCTGAAGACCATTCTGTAACGGTACAGCCACCACAAGCAATGCCCCAGCAGCTGGATCACTGGCATTTAGAGGAATGTGACAGCATACTGACAAGCCTCACAGGGCCTTCAAGAATAAACTATGAAGGTTAAAGGGACATTTCTGTAAGCCCTTTTAATTCTGATTTACCCTAAGTCACTTTACAAATTTAAGCCCACGTGTGGAAATCACTTTGCTCAACAGTGAAATGCAGCAATAGCCACTGCTCATTTTCAGTCAGCTGAATGTAATCACCCAGGTTGGAATTTGGCCAGGATACTCTCCTACTCTGCAGTAAACTGCCAAAAGCTCCATCATGACCAAAAATGATCAAGAAACTTGCTTTTATTCCATTCAAAGCTGGAATTTCTACAGTTCATTGTCCCCAGAACCAGAAGATTCAAGACTGACTATTGGAAAAAATATTACTAAGTGAACATTACTTCCTACAGCAAGTAAACTCTCCTGGAAGGTCTCCTATCCAAATACTAACTTGGTTCAGTCTTGCTGAACTACAGGTAGGAGGACTAAAGCACAACATGAATGTTTGTGTTTATTGTGTATGAACGTGGTAGTAATGATAGGTACAGGACCGACAGAACAAGGCCTCATGCAGAGGACACTGTGCAGAATGGGCAGCAGTTAACAGGCGTTTTCACCCTCTGCTCCACTAATTTGTCCCAAACTTCCTCCAAACTTCATAGCTCTGAGTTTAGCTGCTAAAGTTCAAAGGCACCATCTGGCCTCTCTTTTCAACAGTCTTAAAGACTGTTACAAAGGTGCCCAGTTAGTGCCACAAATAAAATCTTGAGGTCAGGCAAAACCGTCAATTGGGTTTGAATTAAGACAAGTCTGTCTTTAGTACTCAAACATACAAAGCAGGAGATCTGAAAAATCATGCGCTTAGACATTTGCACCTGAAACTTTAAGAAAGGAGAAACATATACAATTCCTATTTTTTCAGATTTTATCAGAAAGCAATAAAAAACCCTGAAGGAAGACATGGGTGAAAGGAGAAGTAAGCTTACTTACATTCAAAACAAGTTGTAAAACCTGTTTCTTATACTGCTTGCTTCATAATCTATTAACACCCCCCCCCCCATCCAACAAAAAAATCAATCAGCTTAAATTTACACGATTGCAGCATCATCCTTTGACACAGATTTTAATGTTCCCATCAAAATAATTGCAGAAGTCTGCAGTGTTTAAGGTATTGATCTGGAGAGATTTAAAGCCCAATCGCCAGGGACAGGAACAAGACTTGCAGGTATTCTGTCCATCTCAGCATCAGGCCTTAGAAGTTTAATGCTGTTCTGGGACCTGGGTGGATTTCTGAGCCACACAATATATGAATCAATGTGAAAATGGCCAGGAGGAGGATTGCATCTTGTGGTGAAGACAATTTATTTGGTTTAAAATTGGGTACATTAAAATATTTTATGAAAAGAGTGCAAGAAATTGCTCCAGCTGCCGCTTGGACCATCCCCAGAGCTGGAGCTCAGCATGCTGAACAAACCCCACCCTTTATTACATTCTATTTTAAAAGGGGACAGGGTCAGATTGTTATAAGAGTTCAGCTGCCGTTTAGGCACCAAGAAAAAAAAGCACTGCTGAGGCTCAGTGAATTGGGCAGTGTTGTGCTAACACAGCTGCCCAGCTTCTGGACCAAGGCTGGCAGCTTTGGCCTTCTGCTGTGCACACAGCCCTCAGGGAGCTAAAAGGGACCTGAGCTTTCCTGAAAAACCCAGACTGCATCTTGCAACAAGCCAGGGATCAGATGAGCTGTCTGCTGATGTAAGAGTATGTTGACTCACTCTAAAGGTTCTTCTTGGGGGTTTGGACTGTACTCTGCCTGGAGCACTCGCCCCAAGCAAGCACCTCCATGACTCCACTTTCCGCTCTGCCCGACCTACTGAGGGGTAGCAGATGCTCACCGACCAGCCAGGGCTGTCCAGCAGTTTGGGGAGAGAAGGTCTAACTTTGGTAGGATCTAAAGAAACAGGAAAAAAAACCGAGATGGACATG